TGGTTGCTTYAGCATCCACTGTTGATTTCCTTGCCTCTGGTCCTTGACAAGTCATTTGAGTTCTTTGAGCTAAACTGTTTCCTGCCAGGACCCTGGTACCAGATTGTGGAAAACATACTATCTTAGTTTTGCCTTCTTGGACTAGCACAGCAAGCCTCCAAGCTTAGGCAAATACCCTGCTGAATGGTTTGGGACTCTTAACCTTGCATAACAATGGAGTGTGGGGACAGAAAGCCAACTGCTGATGTGGGTGGAGGCAATTCTGTTTTCCTTCTAGGGCATCCTTTGCAGTCTGGAATGACTAGCATTTCATTAGTTTTGCCCGCCCTACCCCGCAGTACTAGCATTTCCAAAGGATTGGGGGAATTTTAGGTGCAACTTGTCTGGGAAGTCACACTGCTTATATTCTAATTCTAACTTGGCCACTTTCTGGCTGTGAGACTAGAATTCAATTTCTTCATCTGTTATATGAGAATAATAGTAAAACTTGTCTTTCAAGATTGCTGTGAGGATGTGATTTCAAAAGAACACGTTTTTTAGTGTCCACTCTTGTGATCTATTAAGTGCTCAATGACTTGGTGGTGACTGTCCTGCCATCTAGACAAGAGGTTTTTGGAATCAGACACTTAAAATGCCATTTAGGAAGTCTGGCCCAGGCCACATCATTGTGCCACCAGATACAGTGCCCTCTGCCCCTTCCATACCTTCTAGGGAGTTTCATTTATGGCAGACTGGAGTAGAAGTTCCCCACATGAGTGGGTTGCCTCCTCTGGGACTTTCCCAAGGTATTCCAGAGAACTGGAACCAAACCAGACCTCAGCCATGCATGTCTGGCATGTGACTCCCAGGCTCACCTAGTCACCATTTAGGGCCTTGGGTCTCTCATCTGCTAAGAAACCATCCCCAAACTGTACCCTCAGGACCTGCACCTCCCACTCCTGGGTAGGAAGGAGACAATGGGAAGGGGCCCTGAAAAGCAGAGAACAGGCCCCTAAGCTATGGGACAGTGACCGCCACAGTGTGAAATGGTCGCAGTCCACTTTGCAGGACTCCTTTCAGACACACCTGCATCAGCCAASAGCTGCAGCACAAATAGCAGAGCCATGTTCCTCTCTCTTCTCGTACCTTTCTGCCTTTTCCTCTGYAACCACCTCAGGGCAGCTTATCCCCAAACCAAGAAGAATCCCAACAGCTGACCCCTGACATATGACAGGCCTCCCTGAAGACTCCTGTTCTGAGAAAGCTGGGGGCCACTTGGGCCTGGTGCTGTGAAATACACACCCTTTGCAAAGCAGAAGGTGACATTTTTCTAATGCACATGTAGAGGCCTTCTGATTCTTATTGTCTAAAAAGGCTCCCYGTTGGTGTTTTGGGGAAACCCAGAGCTGGTCAGCAAATAGCAAACCTGCTCACCAGCAAGCACCATGCCTGTTTGTGCCAGCTTCACCACTCCTGGGGGTGGGTGCGAAGGCTGAGGGCAGGGCCATTGGATAGTAAATGGAGAGAGGGCCTACAATCTTATTTCTGGCATGTTCCATGCACCTGGCTGCCTGTTACTAAAGTGCAGTCTGGACGGCTGAGCAACAAATGGCAGGGCCCCTGTAAGCTTCTGTGGCTCCGTGGGCTAAGCTAGGAAGTTGGCAAAATGGTATGATCACCACTGTTGCCAAACACTGTCCCAAAAAACATTATTCCTTGAATATCCCAAAAGAATAAACCTCTCACCCTGAAAACCCTTGCCATCTGGTTTTCTTAATCAGTCCTTTGTCCACAGGACATGTCCAAGTATGATCCCAACCAAAACTTCTCTTCTACTAATCCAGGCTCTAAGTCATTAGCCACTACCATTAGAATATTGAACTGCCCTGTACTTTCAGGCATCTGCTAAAATAGCTCTTTTGACGTCCCAACTCTAATAACCGAACTTGAAGATTCAGGAAAGTTAACTGTGAACTACTAACTCTTATGATCAACAGTTTGCATAGAGATCTGAAGCCAACATAAACCCCAACTTGCAGATGTTCAAACATGCGCTGGCAATTCTTTCCCCATATGGAAAGTGACACGGGCTCAGCACTTGCAACCTGTCGGAAGTTAATACAGCTGGTTGAGCCTGAGCTGCAAAATAGGACACTAATTGTGATACTGGTAGAAATGACACTGAAATAATTATGTCCTACTATTTGCTGTCACAAAACTCAAAAGCCTCAAGCAGGGGTTGGGAAACAAGAAAGTGAGGCCTCTAGCCCTTTCTGCAAGATGAGACACTGCCAGTGTGTGACCCTCTTCAACCCTGGATTGTGTCTTGGTGCATCTGAGGACAAGGAGACTGCACTGAGTCAAAGAAGGGCATAAAGCTTCCAAGTGACAAGTGACAGGCTTTTTAAGTTTCTTTCTTTCTTTTCTTTTGTTTCATCCTTTCTCTGGGCAATAAAAAGGAAAGGGAAGAGGAACCACCCTCTGCAGTCTTGGTGATTTCTTGTTAAGTACATATATAAATACAAGTGTGTTGAAAGCATGTTCTCAATAAAATTATTAATAACTCTGGGAGGAGCCATATGATGTAGGATGGCAGGGGTGTGGCTCTTGGTGTGTTCCTTATTTCTGTGATTGGAGGCTGGCATGCAGAAGAGCACTTGATGACCACCTCTGGCTGTGGAATGTGGGCTCAGATATCTCCTTGTGTGCTGCCAGGTACCTGCTGTCTAAGCCACCCAAGTGTCTAGGTACTTGACTGAGCTCAGCATGCTCTGAGGCACGGCACATGTGACTCCCCTGGAAGCTAAGAAGTTCTTTGAGATAATAATAATAATAAACAAACAATAAAACACATGTGCACACACACCTCCGTCACCAAAGTCCATAGCTGTTTCTGTGGATGAGTGATATGAAGTATCCCAGAAGTGGAAATTGGGTTCCCTGGCACATAGAAACTAGACAGCACTCAATAAAATTTAAAGGGCCTCTAGCAGGATCCCCTAGTAAGGGAAAAGTGTAAACTCAAGTTTAAAGGGGGATGCTCCAAAAAATGTGACTTAAGTGTCCCAATTCCCTTGGGTAGAGTCCACGAACAGGGGTGGTCTGCCTAGGACACAGGAAAGGCAGTTTCAGGAAGCAAGCAGGAGAGGGATGGGGTGGTGGAGACACCATGGGTGGCACATGTTTCTTTGGCTGTGGCAATAGCACTCTTGCCTGGGGACATGGCCAGATCAGGACAAAGCCCTTAGCTCTCAAACTCTTGTCTGCATACCTCTGGTATGGTATGGTGTGCTTTTGCCATGATAAAGTTAGATTTGAAAAAAAATGTTCCCTACACWATACTCAAGGGATACACTGATTTCCCAAAAGTTCTGATGAGAGGAAGAGATACAGCCTTTCCAGGGGATTAAATTAGTCTTTGCAAAACTAGCATTTTCTCCTCCCCAATAAATTAAGAACTTTTGAAATTTGAATTCTACATTAATTTTCATGAACCTAGCCCTTGGGACTGTGTTCCAGGTGCCTGAACAGTCTTAACTCAGTGGCCCTGAATGGGACTCAGTCAGGTCATTCTTTTAACATTTTCCTCACACCTAACTTAATGAAGGCAGAGGCACACATACCCTCATGCAGCACTGGAAGATGCTGATACAAAAGAACAACTGCATTGGCACTCTGATCCCAGAGAGTAGACAGGCCACTAAGCCTTCATGGCTCTACAGTCACCATGAGTACTTGACTGTCCCCCCTCCACCTCCCTCCTCTCAAGTCCATTTGTCTGCTTGGCCATCTCCATTTACCATGACTGGTTCAAGACAGTTGTTTGTATTCTTTCAAGTTAAAAGCTGAGCATCAAATTAGAATAGCAAATAATGTGTGGCAAATGTTCATGAAATAGTTGGGCTTGTGTATTCCTATGTTAAATGCAGTATTCCAGGGTTCTCACTCTGCTCAGGCAAAGCATAACTTCAATTTCTTTAACCCTGCATTGAGGATCAATTTTTCGTTGTGTCTGTTGTGTGTGTGCACGCATTTTCAGTGCTGGGGAATGAATCCAGGGCCTTGAGCACTGGTTAGGTAAGTGGTTTCCAACTGAGCTACTCCCCCTGTCCAAGGATCAATTTTTCTGCTATGGAGACATTGATTTGTCTTTCCTAGTCTCTAYTGTACTATCTACTGGAGGAAAACAGCCTCTGAACTGAGCCAGTAGCAGGTTCAATCTTGCTTTGTTAGCCTTCATAGAAACCCATGTGATMTTCAAGCTCCAACAAAGGAAGAATGCCTTGCACATGATGTTGAACTTGGTTAAGTTGCCCTTTATTAACAAAAATGTGTAGGTTTTGGTAAATTCCACTGTGGAGAACACAAACCATGGGATAAAACATACATCAAGAGACATTTCCCAAGCTGGGGAATTTAAGAACATGAGGAAAGAGTTCACACTGCACAATCCCCTGGTACTGGCTTCCTCCTTGAGTAGTTGTTCATGAGAAACAATTTACAATTCCTAAACAGTAACCAAAACAGTGCAAGAGGGCTCTTGAGATAGTTGTATGGGCGTCAAAAGTCAGGTTAAAAAAACAGACACAGAAGTGGAGTTTTGGTAAAAATATTTTCTTTTGCTAAATAATCTCACAGTTCTCAACGTATTACAACATTACACATGTATGCAAGTTTACAAAACCACTGTTGGACACTTAAAAATAAACTCTATGTTGCTTTTCTTTTTGGCAGCACCAGCCTAAACTTTGCAATATTTCAGAAACTTCAGGTACATTACAGTCTTCTGAGAAAGGCCCAATACTTCAGAATTCCTGGAGTGGCTGTGGAGAAAGAACATTACTGGCAACAAATATAAAAACAATTCAAAACCTAAAGGAATATATGTGGTCATTCATAAATGTTTACACATATTTAACCATTCACTCTAATAGCCTTAATATTTTTCTGTCCTTTCATTGAGGTGCTGGGGATCAAACCCAATGTTTCATACATGCTAGGCAACTGCTATACCACTGAGTTACATCCTTAGCCCTCTTAAATGCATTTTCTGTTAGCATATTTACATTTCTTTTGGTTTACAGAAAAAAATATACTCAACAGGCAAATTGTTTTAGCTGAAGAAATGATTCTAGGGCCACATTTCCCTTTTTGGTTGCACATCTGGGGCCTGTACATGTGCACTGTCAGAGACTTTGTTTTCCTTGGTCCCCAAAGAGCTCACCTTTCACATACCCTCTACATGAACAGGAAAATTGCTCTTCTTATTCAGGAGCTCTTTTTGTGGTGGAATTCGGAGAACCCAGGTTGCAACATCTTTTTAGGGAGAGATTGAGTATATTTTTTCCTGTGGCTCTGCGTGCTTAAGAAATTTAAGTTGGTATAAAGGATTGACCACTGAGTTGGGCACAGCATTCCAGGATGCCTGTTGCCTGGCTGCAAACTGTGGGTGCTCTCACAGCCTGAATGTGGAACTTTGCCCTTCAGAAAGCATTATGGGAACCCAAGTAAAAAATTTAAGCAGCTCAATGATATTGATGTCTTCCCCTTTGGCTTCAAAAGCAATCAGAACTGAACATTTTGAATTATGAGGCAGAATTCACTGGATTAACACAAACACACACCAAAACTTTTCAAACATTATTTAATGAGGTAGCTGAGATCAAAGATCAAATCCACAGCATACACCAAGGAACTTAATAAATGATCAGGCATTTTGAAATGCAAACATCTACAGTGTCTAACAAATATTCTTCCTTTCCATTTCCTGTAGGTACATGCAAACCTTGAGAAAGGCCCTGCAAAGTGAGAACAGCAAGGCTGGGAGTGCATGAAGCTGGACAGGAGGAGACAGGAAGGGCCCAACAATGTATGCCAAGTTTGGCTGATGTACTCCTGCTCATCATGGAATTCAATCAAGGTCAGTCTTACATGGAACAAACATCACTTAGAACCCAGACACATGATGGGTRGCCTTGACTTGAGGCAGCAAGGAGTACAGGGCCTGGTGCACTTATACTAAGCTTGAGGCAATACTGAGTATGCCCTCCACCCCCCAACACCTTCCAGGGTCCCTGGAGCCACCTTCCCTCAGGAGGGGTCTGGGCCCCATCTTTCCCTACTATACCATCCCAGGTTCTGGGAGAGGCTATTGCTTTCAGCTGCTCATCCCCTGAGTTCTCAACCTCTGCTCCCAGGCATAGAATAYCTTCCATGCTGCTTGCTGAGAAGCTTTTCAGAAGTCAAATTCAAATGCCTTCCATTTGGAGCCAAAGGGAAAGGTGGCCATGCCAATCCTGGCAGCGTGAATTTTATGACTCCCAGCAATACGAACATTCAGAGCTTACCCACGCAGACACATTCACCTGCACACACCCTCACACAATGCATACCCTTCTACACGCTCACAGGCATACACTCTCACATGTTCTTAAGTGCTGTACATATGCACTCACTGATAAGTGCACATGTTGTGTGTGTGAGCCCAGTAGCATCCCAGGTACAGCAAGCTCAGGTGAGGCCATGATCCAAGGTCAGGGGGAAAGGTGGGTGACGTAAAAGGACTCGGGACTGGGTGGGGTCACTGGGGAAAGAGCCCTGAGCTGTCCACTTTGCAGTGGTCATTCACTTTGCAGTCCTTGGAGGAAGTAGCCAGCACACCAGCACACCACAGGGAGCCTGCAGGCAACCCGGAAGACAAGCAGCAGGAAGGAAGGCACCAGATCCCTCTGTGTTAGGTTTCTGTGGTATAGTTATTGTAGGCCAGGGGAGGCAGGGCCGAAAAGCTGCTCCACCGCCTGGTGCCAGGTTGGGACTCCACACGCCCTTGCTCTTTATATTTACCCAGAATGTTTTTGGCTTCTTCTGCATCCCGCAAAGGATTCTCCCCATATTCTTCCTTCAGCCACTGCCGATACTGTAGAAATTGGAAATAAATTTGAAATGTCMCACACCTGCATTCACCGTGACTTTCACCTGTTACTTAATGGTCTCGAGATGATGGCACACGTAAACAGGGAAATCAAAGGGCACTGGGTAATCACAGCTAACAGAAATAACTGTTCCTTCAAGGTTTGGGCCTGAGGACATAAAAATAAGTCAGACCAATGCATCTACTTGACAGACTTGGATGGAGCAGTTACTGTCTGTTGCTGAGGGTTCCTTACAAGAAACAAGTGTCTTCATGCTATCTGTTTAATACTGGCAGCCAAGATTAAATTGCTGAATCCAGAAGAAAAACATGGAGAATTTTTACAATTCAGTAATTTTATAAAGAAGAACCTAAAATCTGAGTTTACATGATTAGTGGTGAACAATATTCCCTACTACCCTCTCCTGGCTAAATACATCTTTAAAAACTTAAAGGYTAAATGAATTAAAAGCAAAAAAGAAAAGCAAGCAAGCAAAGCAAATGAAGAAAATGATACTTCACTGAAACGAAGAGGAACATGCTAATATTAGGAGTACCAGGCGTAAGGAAAATGACAAGGGATATAAGACCCCTATGGCTGTAGCTGGGGCACAATGGATTGGTGACAACTTCCGTGGGGATAAAGGTGAGCACCCTTGAACCCAATATCCTCTGTGGGCCTCTTCAGTTCCAACCTTCTTGATTCTGGGACTGAAGGAATTGTCCCAGGGCAGTTGCCTGCATCTGAAAAGCCTCGTGCAAATGAGCATTGCTTACCTGGTGGACTTCATGTTTCTCAAACTCCTGGAGCTGCCTCTGGAAGCCCAGATTGGGGTTGGCACAGGATCTCCCTGCACGCACAGTGTGCAGGGCATCCTCCCAGCCAAAGTCCGTGACAGTCATGATATAAGCAATCACCAGAGTCACACTCCTGGAGACCCCAGCCAAGCTGCAGAATGGAGAGGGTCATGAGTGCAAGGGCAGTTTTGGAACCATGGGTCTGTCACCCAACCCATTTGGGGCTGGGGATTCAGAGCATCTCATTTTAGGGAGTCTTCCTGCTTTGGATTACACATGGACAGCATGAAAGTACGTTACCAGGAAATCCTTTGGAAACATAACAGTTTCCCCCTACTCTGTGCCACTAGATCTCAGGCATCCTTTAAACATTTTGGCCTCATGMTTCATTGATTTTCTATAGGATAGAGCTACAGGCACCTTATGATGTTCAATTGCTCCTGATCCTCTTCTCAGACACTTCCTATTTTTTTTGTCAAATAAAATAACTCAAATATACCAAGGGGACTTGAGGCTTCCTGGACCTGTGGAACAAGTCCATTTATAAACTGCATTAGTTTAGAATGTGTCATGGTTTTTAAAAMTCTGGTTTGGTTTTCTTAGCGACATGAGGGATAAAACTGATTTTTAGAACCCATGAAATCCAGAAGCCCTTAGAAAATCTTACTTTTGTATTTTTCTTGATATAATTGAGCAGAATACTAGAGCAGGCACACTGCAAGTGCTCTGGGGCCTGGGGTCAGATGCTCTGYGGCACTAACGGTCAACTCCAGCAGGCTAAGTAAGGAAACTATYATGGTTTGGATCTGGGATGTCTTCCAAAAGCTCATATTAAAAACATGATCCGTAGTGTAGCCAGGTTCACAGGCACTGATTGGATCATGTGGGCTCTGACCTCATCAGTGAATTAATTCACATGATAGATTAATCCACTGGTAGCTGGATGGACTACTGAGAGGTAGGACTTAGTTGGAAGAAGCAGGTTACCGAGGGCATGCCTGGAGGGGTTTATTTTCTCCGGGACCCCTTCCTCTCCCTCTCTCTGTTTCTAGGTTGACATAAGCAGAACACTTTCCTCTGTTGGGCCCTTCTRCCATGATACTTCTGCCGGGAAGCTGGCCAACCGTGGAYTGAATCCTCTTAAACTGWGAGCTAAAATAAACTTTTCCTCCTCTCAGTTGTTCTTGTCTAGTATTCTGGTCACAGTGGCACAAAGTTGACTAACATAGAGACCAATTTAAAATACATATGCAAATTAAGGCAACCATAGAAAAGTTGTGCTTTGACAGACTTAGAGTGTTCCAGCAACGGTTTAAGATTGGGAAGTCTAGCAAATGTCTCATTTTTAGAAAAGCCTTATAATTAGATGTATATGGTGGTGTTAAATATGAATTTCTAGACTATCTGGCCAATACATATTTAAATAATAATAACATAATTAATAATAATAATAATAATAACACCACTACCTTACTCCTAAGTAGTAGTTCTTTATATAAAGACTTTATATAAAAAACACTAAGGGAGTTTTACAAAAATAAACCCTCGTAGCAAGGCTATAACCCTGAATATCTGAATTCACCAGGAGCATGGAAAAGCCCAGGGGTTGGAATTTCAGAACTCCCCTTTATTTTACCTCCAAATGCACTCATAGGTGCTTTAAAGTCAAATGTAACTGAACATAAAAAACAACCATTTGTATGTGTCACATTTCCTACTCYTTTAAAAAGTGAAATGAAAAATCACACTATTTCAAAGTTGTATAAATTGGCAGAACACCACTCTTGAAGTCACTGAAATAGCTCATTCCCYGACCAGCCTTCAGAACACATTGCAGTTGTCTTAAGTGGCTTCTCTGGCTATCATGCATGGGTTCTCTCGGTCCTGACAGGGCTGCCACCAACCTTAGTAGCAACACTCCCAGGAGTTGGCTTCACATTTTCAAAGAGTTTTGCACTGCAAGGGTGGCTGTTTTGGGCGAAATCAAAAAAGATTGTTGTGCTTTAAGATAATTAATGCCACACCTTATTCAAAGGGAAAGGGGGCAGGTCCAGCCTGCACCTTCATAGACAACAGAGCCCTGCATCCAGAATGTTGACTACTAGTTCCCCAGACAAATTAGCTATTACCATGATTACTACTGGTAACACAAATGACATTCCCCTGAGAACTTACCATGTACCAGACACAATATTTGCCAGGCATAAGACCAAGAGTTTTATATGCATTCTCTGGGTTGAGTATGTAGAGTAACTTTCTTTTCACAGTATGTATATGTGTGCATAGTTGTCTCTTGGTGTCCATGGGACACTGTTTCCAGGACACACCCCAGATACCAAAATGCTCAAGTCCCTTATACAAAATGGCATAATATTTGCATAGAACCCACACATATCCTCCTTCATACTTTACATCTTCTCTGGATTATAATGTAGAAATACAACATAAAGGCTAYGTCAATAGTGGTATTTCTTAAGGAATAATGACAAGAACAAAAAGTCTGTACATGTTTCATATAGAGGCAACATTTTCTTTTCCTGAATGATTTTGATTCATGGTGGGTTGAATCATGAATTCAGAATCCATGGATAGGGTGCATCAACACTGTTTCTTTCTTTCTCTCTCTCTCTCTCTCCCCCCACCATCTCTATAAAATATAGAAGAGTGTAGGTAGATAGTTGTCAATAAACTAATTCTGAGTCTATTTAGATTGTTTCAAAGAAAAGTAGTAAGCCAAACACTCTTAAAGCCCCAGGCTGTAAATGGAGAGGAAATGGCCATATTGGTGTTACAGTAATACATTACTAAACACCYACATTTGCAATCAAAATTCTCCAGGAAGAAACAGTGCTTTGAAAAGGTCACTGAGGTTTCAGGGATGAACCTACAGAATGGGTAGTTGTCTCTTGGTGTCCATGGGACACTGTTTCCAGGAGGCCGTTCTGATGAAATGTTAAGACACAGGCTAGCAAAAAACAGTGTCTGTTGACTAGTAACCCTCACAGTCCCTATAGAAATCCTCACAGTGAGTAAAATGGAAAACAACAAAAAGAAAAGCAAAACCAGGTAGGGTTTTGTTGAAACAAAAACAGGCAATGACTAATGCATATCTGGGAGAGGTGGAATGTATGTTTGAGACTCTGGGTTTAGGAAAAAACATTAGGAGATGAAATAATCACACAGAGAAAGACACTCAYGAGACATCAAGCTAAGCAGAAAATACTAAGTAAGGTATTATTCAGAAAGAAAYATACGTACCAGTGCACCAGACAGCCCTCACCTTGGAGTCTGCACTCATGAATGAATTTAATACTTTCTTTGAAATGTCGTGTCCTAGGCACAGGATAAAAAAGAGAAAGAGAGAGAGAAGTGACATAGACTTTACTCAACATATAATGAAAAGAAAAAACCACCTAACACCTTTCTGAAAGAGCTCAAGAGTCCTACACCTTCAAAACCTGGTCAACTATCTGRGACCAGGGCTGCCTGAGCCTTAGAATGGGTCACAGGCATGCTGARGTCTGGGGAAGGCTGCCCATGGTGTGGAATTTTTAGAATTTCTCTACAGAACATCCATGAAACACAAAGTTGTCATTTACTGGTAGTTCTGCTCAGCCTGCTATGTTCAATCCRAATCAACAGCTCAACCAGGGACCTTCATGCTGGCTGTGAATGCAGTAGAGCCAAGTGAACTTGATAAGGAAGGCGTCCAGGCCGTGTGTTCCCTGTCCTAGAAGCTAGTTTACTTGTGACAACCTGAGAAGCCTAAAAGCATCCTCCCACAATGGACTGTCCAGATTTTGGTAGTTCTGTCTGTCTGTCACTGGACAGCTATGGGGAAATGGAAATTTCACCTCTGATCCCTGCTCTGCCATTCCCTGTAGCTTGGGGAATGCAACTCAGAGATTAGGCATGACCCCTCAACGGGGTGGATCGGGTCATGTGTATCAACCTATTCTGAAATTCTAAATGATTATTAATGCCACAATCCTTCCTTCTTCTGACCCTCAGATTTTTGGGCCATCCCTTTCACTAGTCACTTATTCAGCTCCTAACTGTTGAGGAAGTGCCTATTTATACGTCCTTGCTCACAGGCATGGGCCGCTCCTTTCTGAGCAGCTTTTCAGAGGTCAAGTTCAAATGCTGGGTTGTTTGAGATACAAATATGGGGACCCACTTTGATGAGTTCCCAACTGGTGTGTGTGTGCCCTATACTACATGTACAGCATTCTGGACTGAGCTGTGGCCTAACTGCAGGTACTCCAGTGGACCAAGTACCTGCTTTTAAAGTACATTCTATCTTTGACTGGCTTCTACAGCAGTAAAACACCAAAAGCTACCCATGAACTAAATACATTTCCATTTAAACACCGAGTACTGACTATCTGCCTGGGATGCTGTTAAGCTTCAAGACATTCAGTGACAAATAAGATGATGTTTCTGACTGCTGAATTAGAGGGCAAGTGCAATGAATCAGAACAGGAAGCTCAGGTGTGGTGTAACAACTCTCAGCTACTAACTACAGAAGAAACCCAAAAGCCTCACTGGAGGTGCTCACTGAGATGGGGATGGATGGGAGGTAGAAGACATTTTAAACCTGCACACATACATACATAAGGAACCCAGGCACCCATGTTCTGTCCACAACCAAAGTGTTGCTTCAGGTGGAAAGTCCAAGTAGGCTAACCCAAAGATTCCAGACTCTTACCTGAAGGGTCTAAATAGCATGACACTGCAAGATCAGCTTTCCATAAGTGTCCTAAAGACAAATGCTCCCAGAATATAAATTTATCAAGTGACTCAGAATTGCAACATTTCCCCAAACACTGGCTTTGTACACAGCAGGCAAGAAAGCATTCTTGCTCTAATCTTGAAATCTGAAGTTTTAGTACTGAGAGACCTCAGAGGAGCCAGGCAGCAAAACTGAGTGCAAAGAGGGGTGAAATGGGGCGCTGGGCTTCCCACTGTGGGCTGCAGGAGGGAGGGAAGGCTTGGTGCTGATAGAGCTTCCTATCTCTCAAGCAAAACCAGCCACTGAGAGGTGACAGTGAAGCATTCTGATCTGGAAGTACTGGATATGTGGCAAGACATGGCCAGTTGCCCTGGTTGTGGGGGACAGCAAAGAGCTCAGGCCTGGGGAATGGCCTAGTTTCCCCTAGCTACGGCAATGGAGAAGGAAAGGGAAGGCTACATGTACGTGGTGATTTCTGGAAAAGTGTTCCCTTCCTGATGAAAGGAAATTAATCGATCTTTACCTCTAGTTTCTTGCCAGGGAACGGCAAGAACCATGCTCAAGGTTGTATCACCACCTGTGACCACAGTGACAACTCCCCAGAGTGAAAGGACAGCAGGATGGAAAGGCCAGACTCCTAGAGGACATCCAGGGTCTGCTGCCCAGGCCTGGGAGTACTACTAGCAGGCTTCCTAGCAAAGGCCTCTATCCCTGAGRACACAGTTTTCTACTTATGGCTAAATACACTCTCCCTGATAACAGCAACTAATTTATAAAACTCTGGGACAATTTGTGTAGTCTAGAAGTAGCTCCCAGGTTATTCAGATTCCAGGGCTCTCTCTTTTTTATTTTATTTATTTAAAAAAATAAATGACAGTGGAATGCATTACAATTCTTATTAAACATATACAGCACAATTTTTCATATTTCTGGTTGTATATAAAGTATGTTGACACCAATTTGTGTCTCCATACATGTACTTTGGATAATGATGTCTATCACATTCCACCATCCTTGCTAATCCCCTGCCCCCTCTCTTCCCCTCTCACCCCTCTGCCCTATCTAGAGTTCATCTATTCCTCCCATGCTCTCCCTCCCTACCCCACTATGAGTCAGCCTCCTTATATCAGAGAAACATTTGGCATTTGTTTTTTTGGAATTGGCTAACTTCACTTAGCATTATGTTCTCCAACATTATCCATTTACCTGCAAATGCCATGTTTTTATTCTCTTTTATTGCTCAGTAAAATTGCATTGTGTATATATGCCACATTATTTTATCCATTCTTATACTGATGGGCATCTAGATTGGTTCCACAGTTTAGCTATTGTGAATTGTGCTGCTATAAACATTGATGTGGCTGTGTCCCTGTAGTATGCTGATTTTAATCCTTTGGGTATAGACCGAGGAATGGGATAGCTGGGTCAAATGGTGGTTCCATTCCCAGATTTTCAAGGAATCTCCATACTGCTTTCCATAATAGTTGCACCAATTTGCAGTCCCACCAGCAATGTAGGAGTGTACCGTTTTCCCAACATCCTCGACAACTCTTCTTGTTGCTTGTCTTCATAACAGCTGCCATTCTGACTGGAGTGAGATATCTTGGAGTAGTTTTGATTTGCATTTCTCTAATTGCTAGAGATGATGAACACTTTTTCATATATTTTTTGATTGATTGTATATCCTCTTCTGAGAAGTGTCTGTTCAGTTCCTTGGCCCATTTATTGATTGGGTTATTTGTTTTTTTTGGTGCTTAGCTTTTTGAGTTCTTTATATATCCTAGAGATTAGTGCTCTATCTGATGTGTGATGGGTAAAGATTTGCTCCCAAGATGTAGGCTCTCTGTTCACCTCACAGATTTTTTCTTTTGCCGAGAAAAACTTTTTAGTTTGAATCCATCCCATTTATTGATTCTTGGTCTTAATTCTTATGCTATAGGAGTCTTATTAAGGAAGTTAGGGCCTAATACCACATGATGAAGATCAGGACCTACTTTTTCTTCTAATAGACGCAGAGACTGGTTGAGTGCAGGGGGTGGCCAGGGAAGGCATGTTCCTTTGTCCACCAGGTTGTCCACACTGTGACCCCCAAGAGATCCTCACACAGCTGTAACCTCTGATCTTGCTTATTATTGTGGGGTCTCTTCCCGTTTGGGGAGCATTGGGTCTGTGAGCACTGGCAGCCAAAATAGCAAAAGCAAATCTAGAAATGATGACAACTACCTGGATGAATGAGTAAACCACAGAGCCCTTCAGAAAACACTGTGAAGACACAAGTTAGTAGAGACCCTCTCTGATCCAGAGCAGGACTTGGAGTCTTGGAAACATGCCTGGTTGGGGCTCATCAAGGTCTTACAAAGAGAATAACTAAATCTCTTTACTGAAGGCTCAAAGTAGGACAACTTGTTTTTACCCCTGTACATTGCAAACCACAGGTATGATGAAATCAGGCTTCCTACAGATTATGCTATTGATCCTCCACCTTTAAAATAAGGGAAGGCTGTGCTCAGCTGGGGAATATCCAAACCTACCCTGAGTCCAGAACAGGTGAGCAAAGAAACCTAGGAAGCAGAGGGGAGATGTTCCCCACTCCTGGCTCCCTGCTGGTTCTTTCCTCCTTCTGGTCTGCCCATAACAAGGGTTAAATACAAGACAACCCATGGTATATGGCTCCCATCCACCACTCTGTTGGGGGGAAAGGGCTGCTCACAGTCTCAATCCAGGGGTATGAATAAAACCCCTGAGGGGGACTGCTCAGAGCCCCACTGTGAAACTTGACTCATGCACATAACTAGGCACGAGGCCAAGTTTGGCAGACATTGCTAGAAATGCCTTTTCCAGGAAAAGCCAGGAGGCAGGCAAGCTCACTGGTATAAAACTGTGTGCTGCTGACAGTATGCGGTGGGTGTGGGGGGGTTTATTTCCAGGGAAGCCAATGACATAAGCCCAAGCTCTGGTCATTAGACACCCTCCACAGTGGGAAATACCCACGGCCTGGGTTCTTCTATTGCTCAACTCCGATTTGAAGCAGAAGCACAAATCTGAGGCACCATGCCACCGTGAGCTATTTCAATGAAGGCAAGTTCCCTATTCTTGTTCTTTATTTGATTGCAGTTAACCTTTGCTTCCATACAAAGACATGTTATAAGCTCTGTATGCAGAAAATAAGCTAAGAACATCCAGAAGGAAGCATGACTTCCAGGTGTGTTACACTTACCCACAGCACCTTGGTGTCATCATGCCCTGCTTCTGCTGACAGACCTGGGAGGACACCTTAGTGAGTGGCAGGAGTGTGTCCACAGACAGGTGGCCTCTATGTGGACTCAGCAAACAGCCCAGCAGCAGCCAACTGTCCCCCTTCCAGCTCAATGACCAGTGGCACTCACCCCCCATCTCTTTGCATCAGACAACAAAGTCAGTGACCAAATGGGCCTTTCTGACCTTCTGAGAGTTCAAGAAGGACAGTGGATGGCTCTCATAAACCACATCAGAGGATTCTCATTTTCAAAGCCAATAATTACTTCTTGCTCCAAGAGCGTGAGATTTGGAGGCTATGATCCCCATGGTAGGACAGGAAACAGTCAGGTCCTACTCACRAGAA